CGTGCCTGCCCCCCGCGCCTTGCTGTCCGCCCTCAGGCTGCTGAGGCGATCCCTTCCCCGAGGGCAAGCCTCCGCGTCCTAAAACGGGGGCCCTTCAGCCCTGCAGGAAGCCTTGGCGGCGGCCAGGGAGGTGGCGTTTTGCTTCCGCCCGTCGCTGGGGTGGAAAACGCCTCCCGGCCGGCTGCAGGGATGGCGGGTCTGCATTAAAGGACCAAAGCTGTGGAGCTGCAGGGAAGCCAGCTTTTAGGCTACGGTTTAAACAGTTCTGTGGCACTTTAAAGTGCTTTCTGGAGTTTAAAGTATTACTACCTTTTAAAAAAAAACCCAATCTTAATTTATGTGTAGAGTGTGTTTTATAATGATGATTTTTCTAAAATTACTGTATGTAAAAACATAACGAATGCACATTTTTTTTTCTTTTGAATGTCCTTAGTTTTACTGAAAAAATAGGTTGAGACAGAGCTCGATACAAATACTTTTTAAAGAAATAAACTTTAATCTTTGGAGAGCATTGTAAGACTCATCTGTTTCCTCCTGATGGAGAGGGGAAGGTTTGAAAAGAAAATACAGCAAGAAGACGTCATTGCCGTTATATCTAGGGATGCATGTCTGCATTGCACAAGTTTCATTAAGTGGATTGGTTTTTTTTTAAAGCTCGAGGGTATGATTTCTAAGAGATGATTGAAATTGCGAAGTATGTATGCAAAATATGATGTATGCTGGTTAAATATGAGGAAAAATGAAATGTTTGATCTGTAATTCTCCTTCTTCTTTGATATTAACGTTACAGTCCGGGAGCTGCATCTGTTTCTGCCAAGTGCAGATATGGCCTAGCGATTTCAAAGTAAAAAAAGTTCATTTTGTCACTCCTGTAAAATGCAGGAAGAAATATAAGAAATTTTAGGTGATGAGAAAACTTGGAAAAATAAGTGGCTCCCCCTGCTGCTAATTGTTGGAGCGCAAATGTAGCTCAGTAAATGATGAGAGCTATTAACTGCCAAATATTAGTCTGTACATAATGACTATAAAAATACAGTAATATACCTGAAGATTTTTCAATTTTTATTACATCAAGTCTATATTAGGCTGAGGTTAAACCACGACAGAAACAAACATGGCATTGTTTTGAAACACATTAGAAGATTGGCTGGATGCCAGAAAAACGTGCTCCTGACTGTAGTGAGACACACCAAAACCCACCAGAAAGGTCGGCCGACAGACTGGTTTTCTTTTGGCAGTAGCTTTGTGTCTGATGAAGAATCTTAGAGTGTGAAGCAAGAGCTGAGTTCAGGTAGAGGACCTGTTGTGCCACGATGCTGAGACCCATTTGTACCTCTGAGATTCTGAAGATCTCTTTCAGCATTAGACCTTAAAATCATTCTCTTTTGTAAGTAAGAATAGCCACTGCTTTTTGTGTTACAACCTCTGGTAGAGCTTAGCATGCGGCAAGGGAGAAAAAAACCCAACACATTGTTTGGAGCCAACTGAGTGCCCGATTTATATTGAAAAAGAAGGGGGAATGCCTGGAATGCTATAGCAAGCAAGAGAGTCGGGGAGTTAAAACATAACTTTGATCTTTTAACTAAAAGTTGACAAAGGTTATTAATCGTCAGGAAGTATGTGGGAGCTGTTGGGTTTTAGTGAACTTACTGGTAGATCTCATGTGTGTACATCTCAATAAATTAAGTTCCACTGTGAGCACCACAGCCGCAGTAGAATTTGGATTAAACAACCAGATTTATATAATTAGGAAACTCAGCGTTGCTTGTTTTATTGCTGGTACTGTAAATCTCCCACCACATTCATAACCCGAGGCTGCCAGCAACTGTAGCAAAAGACAGTCCCTGCTTAAGCCTCAAATCGCTTACAGTTTAATTACACCAAAAGGACGTACAGAGCGTGAGTGAAAAATAATACGGGAGTACTTTTCCATGCGTAATCCTGTTGATATTTTTGGCAAGAGAAGGATGTGTGCTGTAACTTGCAGTTGATGTTTATTCTGTAAACTTGTTCAATGTGCAATGTCTCTTGCTCAGTTTGTTCCCTTACTGGTTTTGTTCAGATTTCAAACATTTTGTTAGGCAGTCTGACTCTTAGAAAGTCTACAATATAGAAGGCATAACTGTGTGTATAAATGCATTTTTGCACAAATAAATTCACATTTTATGATATTGCTAGTGTTACATTACAAGATACATTTGTGTTAGCAAACTAAAAATATGCCGAATCAAGCTGGGACTTGGAATTTTAAGTCCCTCTTGTTGCTCTTCATTGAACCACTGGCATGAAAGTTTCCATTGAAGCTTGGATCCTACAAAAGGGAATCACTCAGGCAGACCCCTAAATTCCTGCTCCCCAGCATCCTAAATCATCCCTTTTCATTCTGCCTGAAGGATCAGGAATGAGCAAAGGGTAGAAGGTTGTCCCTCTGTATGCTATGAGAAATAAAGGATGCATTAGACGCATTCGGTCAAGGTTAGCCTTCAGCTTTTCAGGTCAGGAAGCTGAAATGGTTCAGAGCTCTTGAACAGATTTTGTCAGCAAAGAAGAATGTTAAGGACTCCTGCTTGCTGGCAGATATTTATGGAGCTCCTGGAGTATTTAGCAGACGTTCACTATTTTAAAGGCTTACGTAAATAAAAAAGGTATTGCTTTTATAGTACAATTAATATAGCAAAGATCACTTAATACTCAACTTAAATAAGCAGAGCCAAGGCCTGTGTGAAGGAAGTTTGAAACATAGGATACCAACATAGAGTGCACGTGGTAACGTGGTGATGCTGCTGGGCTCAGGACAGAAGGAGCAAAAGTTGGCACAGAGCTTTTTAATATATTTTGCAAAGGAAAATGAATTTTGGTACCTTTTATTTTTTTTTCCCCATTTGGCAAACGTATGGTCAGTAATCCCAAATTTCTCATGGAAGACTTCATATCTATTTATGCCTTGCTAGTACAGTGGGGCTGTGATGTGGTTGGAATGAATTTGAAGGGATGAATTTGTGGCATTTCTATGGGAAAAGAGGGTTTTGCATGTGATAAAAGGAACACATTTTTAAAGTGCCAAATCAATATATCCAATTAGCTTTATTATAATAATAAGTGGTTGGCTGGGGTTTTGTTGGACTCTGTGTGAATGAACAGGATGTGTTTACTTAATTCCCAAAAGACAGTTTCTCATGTCAGGGGTACTTAATGTCATATGCATTTTTGTTCTTAATTATCTGGTAGATTATGTGAGGAGGACTTTTTCTTTGTTTCTTTGGCTTTTGTATAATTATTTGTAAAAGTGTAATCATCTTTGTGATCTCTTCTGTTAAAGTTAGCAAATGCTGGGTTAGCAAATGCTGATCTGGTTGCGGACATGAAATTTAGTGGGGTCACAGGGAGTGACTAGTGTCGATTGGGGAATACATTATGATGAAAATTTCTGTCGGTGCCCTCAGCTGACTGAACAAAAATGTGACTGAAATCAGTAGGGTGAAGAAGGAAATGACACAGGACTATATAGGCAGAAAGGATAAATGGTGTAATAGGTGATAAATGAACAATGACCTGAGTAAATGGGTCTCGCATCCTAGGAAAATTGTTACTTGAAATAAATTTTTAGCGTTCAAATTTTAATTAATTCAACAAAATGAGAAAAGCTATGAATATAGTTGTGCAAGATGAGATCCTCACTCCCCACCACCACCGCGGCAGGACAGGAGGAATGCAAGGAGCTTGTCAGGTTCTAAATTTGTTTAAAGAACCATGGACGACAGCCAGAAACGGTGAAGTTCCTCTTGCGGGGGGAGAGGGGAGCCTGTTGTGAACTACGCATTCCCAATGTCTTCAGTAGGTGCTGCTGCTCATAGGGAAACTTGGGAACAATGCTCCAGGTCAGACAGCTCCAAAGACTTGTCTGGATTATGTCAGAGACACTCCTGCCGTGGGAACTGCTTGAAGTCAGAAGGTTTAAAGCTCTGGTGCGCTTTTCCTGAGCTATGAGTTCCTCTTTCACCTCCAAGGAAAGCGTTCCTTTGGTTGGGCTTCTGATACTAGCTTCCATGAAGCAGGCCGAGTAAAGCCTATTGAGAAGACAAGCGCCATATAATATAAAGTAGCAACTGCAAAACTATGTCTATTGGTCTATAATATCAGATAATACTGCAGATAGGTATTAATCATATAGTTTATAGGTCACATTCCTCATAAAGAGAAGTCTAGGAAGGCATTCTAGCGGTATTTTGAAGTGCTGAGAAATTATAGTGAAATCGCTGTTGCAATACAGGTTGATAATTTTAAATTCCTTCTCGCTCTTTTTTAGTAGGATCAAATATTTCAGAGTCTCTTTAGGCATAGTCTCTGTGTTTGAAAAGTAGACCTCATTTTTACCCTTACTAAAGGATATCCACAGTACTGATCCATATCTCACCAACGTTAGAAACAGTTTTTTCAGCTGAAACCAAAAGAAGCGTTTTTGTTTATTGTAGTTTTAAAAATGTTTACTAGAATATAATTGCACATTGAAAAAATACCATAAACAGTTCAGTCTTTAGCCTTCTAACCAAACTGAAACTTAAAAACTACTGAAAGTGATTTAACCCTAGGAAAGATGATATAAGATCTTGTTTGTCAAATAACACTGGATACCCAATCTCTCTTGCAATCCTAGAACTGTTGCCATTTACATCAAAACAGTGGCCTAACTTTTTCATATTACATGTCACACCTACCTGTATGTCAGAATATAAATAATGTGCAGGACACCAGGGGGGGGGACGGGGGGCCGAGTGAGCGAGCGGCCGTGTGGTGCTCAGTTGCCGACTGAGGTTAAACCACGACAACAGATCACATTTACTGCTTGGTCACATAACGCAAAATCTTCCTAGAAGTTTTTGGTTAAACTAATTTTCCATTGTTTCGCAGTCATCCAACTCTCTGAAGGCATCTTATGAAGACTGGCTGCTGACGTACGGCTTGAGCATCTCTCCTTTTCACATGCGATGGCAAACAGCTCTCTTCAACCGCCAGTTCTACAATTGGGGGAGATGGAGACCCAGGTTTCTGTACTTATGGTATAAATTCAGGATTTTTTTTCTTCTGTCAAATACAGAGTCAACAACTTAACCACATCTGTGCCTTTCAGCCTTAAAAGTGTGATGGATAGACATGGTTATTTCACTAGGCTGATGATAAAACCAAACTAGCGTGGTTGCCATAATTGTTCTGTGCCAGTATAAGTCTCCCTCCTCTCTAAAAAATACGTAGCTGTAATACAGGTTGCATGTTGAGATGCTATAAAACTAGAAATCTGTAAACTATTTTTACCTATGGTTTGAACTATACGTAGTTCTTAAGTGTACAGCTATTACATGTAATACTGCATACAGAAGCAGGTCTGAAAGCAGCTTCTCATATCCTAGATCTGTCCATCACTGTACACCGAGCTCTCCCCTGATCGCTAGAGTTTAAAAAGTATTCAGTCAGTTGTGTCTCTGTTGTCAATCATTGCCCAGATGTTCAGCAACTGTACCTGCTCAGAAGCACATTGCTCACCTTCTGTCTTTTATCTGCTGGCATCTTTCCCTGCTAAGATTGCACGGACTGCTGGGAATGCTGGGAAATAAGCAGGGTGGTTAGTATGGGTGCTCCTGGACTCATTTAGAAAATTATTGCTCAGTTGCTTTCCTAGCATTACTTTATATCTGCTCTGAAAATATAAAATGAGTAAGGTTTGAATTTCTTTTCATTTCCTGTATTGCTACCCTCAGTGAGATAGTAATGAAAGAGAGGTCTGCTTCATATTGGTTTCTCTCGTATGTAATGATTTTACTATTTCAGTTTGAAATAGTTCTATATCAATCACAATTTTTTAATGTGTATAGTTTATTACAGTATAATGTTTCCACCAGTCTCTTTAATTAACATTACAAGTACACGTTGCTTGAAATAAATTTGCTAATTCCCAGTGAGCTTCACTAAGGATGGTAAGATAAAAATTATGCTATTGTGAGAGGAAGAAGGACTGGTAGTGAATTGAAGTGTTTTAGCTAGAAAATAAACTTTATCACATCCTTCAACTATTGGACAGTGTAAAATAATAATAATAATACTAATAATGCTGAATAAAAATTCACCACTAGGTGGACTGACGTAAATTGAAATTCTTTTCAACATTGAAGTTAATGAAAAATAAAGTGGTGAGAAGAACGATGTGTTTTAAGTAATTGATTTTAATCTGGTCTTGCAGTTGTACTATTTAGTTCTTCTTTAAAAAAGGTTGAGTCTCATTTATTGTTCTTTAGCACTTTTTATTGTTTGTGGGGAAGACACAAAGTTTATTGAAAAAGCTTATATAAATAAACATGTATGCTACCCTATCATTTGATCCAGGCCTCTAAATATGTCATGGTGTGATGCAACATGGTTAATTATATATTGTTAGTTATGTTTTTATATTCATAGCTAATAGCAAGTTACATGTATTGGGTAACTGAATAAAATTTAGAATGTGGAAGAACAACATAAAAATATTTGAAAATTAATCAGGATGTGGTTTGGATGTAAAACATTAATTAAACAAGGAAAATATTGTATGTTATTAATCAATGTTATTACAGTATGTTATGATTGTTATTAGTTTCCTTTAACTAATATTTCTGTATTGGATTGTTGATACACAAATGGTAGTAGCATCAGATAAGTTTTGCCCTATGAGTTTGGTGTGATAAATTGCGCTCGAGCAGTTACATATGCGGAGAATATACCCTATCTTCTTGCGGCTATGCATTGCTAAACTATTTGCTTCTCTTTGTAGGTTCAGCATAGGAATGGTGTTTGGTATAGTTGCCATGTTTGGCTCTGTTATTCTTCTCGGAAAGACGCTGATGCAAACACTGACCCAGATGCTCACCGAGGCACCGAAAGCCCAGAATGATCGTATGCTGCAAGTTGTGGTAAGTGTTCTCTCCTCAGGTCTTTATTTGAGAGTTGTGAACTGACCTTAACCAGCTTCTTAATGGGGTATGTGATGCTTAAATCCTCCCACGCAAGAATAGCCTAACTCCTGATACTCATCTGCATAAAAATTTGCTGGTTTGTTATCAGCCTTAAAAATGGGCAGTGGAGGTAGTGACAGAGGGGAAGACAAATGAAAGCAAACATGTGGAAGAGCTTATATTAAAAATTCTCAGGAGTGAGAATTGGCTAGTAATTTTGAAAAGCCCTAAATTATCATAGTACTAAGAATATAAAACAGAGCTAAGAATTTGCCTCCTCTGATCTGTGCAATGTAGAGGCACTGGTGGCCTTGAAGTCTTCAGGGCACATCCATAATCCGCAAGAAGAGAGGATTCTGTTTCATTTATTACAATACAAAACATGAGTGGAAAAGGAAAGAAGTGTAAAGAGCTTTGCGTGATAGTGGAAGCAAAGATTCATTAGTGAGGAGATGGCATATTTTCTGATTGTTCAAGGACTTACGCCCTAATTTACAGTGTGAAATTGAAAGTGCTGTTTCTGGCAGTATCTAGTCAAAGGCCTAATAACAATGTATTTAATTGTTTTATGGATTTCTGATGCTGGACAATATATTGTGTGGTGTTTGAAAGGAATGTATTTCACAGAATGGGAGAGATTGCAAATACTGTCGTCTTTATCTCTACGCAAGGCAGTAATGGAAGAACTGACATTGCCCTTACAACAGTTTTAACCTGGAAGGATTCCTAACTACCCTTACTTCCCCAAGAGTGCTATGTGGCCAGAATGTACTACGGTCATTTTCCAGAAATGCGGAAAGTCCTATGAGATTGCTCTGCCTTCTGCTACGTGGCTTAGAGCAGGGGTGCCCAACCATTTTGCTGTATTTAAGTACTCAGCTAGTCTAGTGAACAGAAGTTGGGAATTGCGTGCTGCCACGATGGGCCTTCCCGTAAGTGCTAAACTGACTGCGTGCAGTTAGACTTAAAAAATTGCATGAGCGCAGGAAGCCCGATCATTAGCATGTGCTATAAACTCAGTGCCTTTGGGATGGTTTGGGTCTGTTTCACACATGCAGGGTGAATATAGCAAAGGCAGTGTGTGTTGGCAAAAGCAGGCAACGAGACCTGGGAGAACTGCTGGTACTGCCACTGCAGTCACCCGGTCCACAGGCTGCTCCTGAATTATCTCCAGAAGCAGACAGGAGTGGGCAGTCTGTGTGTCCAGTAGAGCACAGGTTGAACATGAGACAGAAAATTTTTAATTTACATGCCAACAGGGTCTATCCTAAGCATGTATGTCTGTTACATTCTGGAGTAAGAAAAGCCTCCCTTACATCTTCATTTTCTGAGATCATGTTATGGATCTATCCACTTTTGTGACACTAGAGTAAAGTGGTCATTGCTCTTTTGAGAAAATAACGTAGAGGCAACCAAAGTAAAGATGAACCTTTGGAATTAATCTGGTGTGAATTGGAACTATGAAAGCAGAAATCTAGGGTAATGGTCACCGTTTCAATGTGGAATTGATTCCTCAGTGACTGCCTACTGACAATACGTTCAAGCCAGGGACAGACTGGCACTGAAAAAGATGTAGTGTATAGGGATAATGTAATGTCATGTATGGGTATAAGGTTACTTCTCCTAAGTTGACTTGTAGTTCTCTTTCTTTCCTACCTCATTCCTTCATTTCTGAATGGTCACAGTTGTATAATTCTGCCTTTAAAGAGTTTCGGTATTATTTTTGAGGGGAATGTGCTAGCATAAGTTGACACAAAAAAGTGACCCATGTGTAGCTGCAAAGAGGTGAAGAACAAGTCAGGAGGACCTTCTCCTCATTTAAATTAGTTATCTGTATTTGACTGCCAGGTGGAGAGTGAGTTAATTTTTAAGAAAAACAACTTTCTTTTTTTTTAACTCAACTTCAGCATGTGGTACAGATCTGTTTAGCCTTCAGCCTTTGGCTATGGAAAGGAGGAGATATAGTTCTGCTTATGTTTTATTGATTGAGATTTTTGTACCCTTCCTCTTTTGTTCAGTCAGGTACTTTATTTAAAATAGCTGTCTGTAGGTAATTGGGCCGTTTTTCTTTAGCTGCCCTCTCTTGTGTTGGTTGCCTGTTGACAAAATAAGAGGCAGATCAGTTACTAGCAAAGGATCTTCTTTTACTAAAGGCATTTCCAGAAGACCATAAAATATAGGGTGACAATGCTTATTAACAAAATACTGCTACTGATTTCAGAACGCTTCATGAGGTTAACTTCCCTTTTAGGTGAATCTTAAACTAGTTTCTTTGACATGAAGTCTGAAAGCATCCGGTGCTGTGTTCTAACAGGCTATAGTTATGGTGGTATTAAGACGGCAGCTCTTGCTATTGCTGTCTGTCCTCCCATGTGCCTGGAGTAGAGGGCCACTGGCAGCTCCAGTTAACTGATGCATTAGTGCCACCAGCTGAAGCTGTCATACAGGCAATGGATGCTTAACGAATGAAGAGCAGCTGTCTTCATACAGTGAGGTATGATAGTCGTGCCAGTTAAGATAAGTATCTTGGTCATGATCACAATCCAGACAGAATTTGTGAAATTATTTGGTTTAACATTAATAAAAACAGTCTTTTGAAGGATTTCTTTTAGCTAGATTGTCTCACCAACCTATTGTAGAGTTCTGCTGCATGGGTAGGTGAATGCATATAATTGAGGAATATGCAGGACTGAATGAAGGCAGGATCAAATGGGATCTGTTCAGTTGGATCTGCAGCCTTTTGTGTCCCACAAGGGTAGTTTTTAGAGAGTCCTGTAGACAGGCCAGGAGTTTTTGCCCATAGCATCTCTTTTCTGCCACTGGATTGCAATTCAAGTTGTGTTCACATCAGCTGTTAGTGACTGTACCGGAGTGCGCCCTGCCTCGAGCGGGGAGAGGTGTGGAGCAGAGAGGAGAACTGTCCCAGAGCAAGCAGCAGAAGTGGCCTTATCATCCCACGGCAGCATGGCCACTGAGCGGGGATGGGAACCGAGCAGGAGGAAAGTCCATCAGGAGGAAAGAGGGCATGGTTCCTCATTCTCTGACTCGTGACTGCTTTGAAGCCCATCTAGAAGGAGTTGGTGTCTCATGACTAGTGCAATGAAGGACCTGGGGAGTGGTGGGAATCCATAGCAGCAGGAGGAATGTGATGGGCCTGCATATTATGTCTTACATAAATTAAAATAGTATACTTATTTCAAGGGCTTTTTTTTTAAAGGTTAAATTGCCATAGATAGACTGCCAAAACTTGAACAATAAACAAAAGTTACCCTTTTTTTGACCTTTTAAATTTGGGATAGTCTTGTGATTTGGATGGGGGGAGAGAAGGGAGACTGACAGTTCCAGTTGTAGGCTCATTTTTTGAACTTTTAGGGCTGATAGTGTTTTAAGTGCCATACAATTTTTTTTTGGGGGGGAAGGGTGGATCTTCTCTATAGCTACATGACTGGCTGCAGGAAGTTGTAAACTAATGCTCACGGTTGCCAAGCCTGTCTCATTTGAGTGGAAGTCTGTGTACATTTTTATAAACTTCTCGAGCTTAATATAGAGTAGAACACGTTCAGTCAGGGCTGTGGGGAGTAAGTAGGGCAGGGAGAAGGCTTTTGTGCCTGGAGAGCTTTTTAACCTTCAACAAAAGAATATATATTGAATGTATTTTAAAATACATTGAATAAATCGGGAGAAGAGGTACAAACTGATAGTGCTGTGTGAGAACGGCTCCTGTTCTGTTGCGGGTCTGAAGAAGCTGAGTGAGAGCAGCAAGTTTAGGGGCAGAATGATTTGTCTTTGTAGCTCTTGGTTTCCTCCTGTGTTTTATTTTGTTGTCATGCCCACATCAACAGGTGCCTGGTGTAAATTTGCCTGTCAGCCAGCTGACCTATTTCTTCTCTGCAATCCTCGTCAGTGGTGTGATACATGAAGTCGGCCATGGGGTGGCAGCTATTCGGTAATACAAATTACTTTTCTCTTACTATGTGCCAACAAAGCCTAATATTCCAGAGCATTTGCTTACAGGTGAATGTTGTTAGCACTTCTTCAATTTATCTAGGGAGTCTGTTTATTCTGTATTTCATAGCTTCCTTAGATTTTAAGATTGGAAGGGTGTACAGTTAAGGATAGAGTTTTAATATAGTGTCTATTCTACAGCTCATGAGAAAGGACTTCTGCTTTGCAAATATACCCTGCTGCATCAGGTTTGAAATAATACTTCTTTTAAGTGTTCCTGTTTTTCCTACAGCAATTGCATTTCTGCAGCTGTGGCACTTGAAGAGGACCCATGCGCTATTGCACAATGCTACTTTAAAATAGATTTTAAATTGATTTGTTTAAACATAGCTTGTGAAGTAGTAGACAAAAAGGCTCAAGCAGTAACTCAGTCAAATGTGATTTGCCCCTATTAATCTCAGTGATGTGTTAATTTTGATCGAAGATGATATTTTTAATGTCACCTAACTGAGATGATTACTTCACAAAAAAGTTATTTGACATGGTTAGTCATTACTTTTAAAAGACACTCTAGCATAAGAGGGTTAAGTGATGGTTACTGGGACTGATATTCAGGTGTCCTCCGCATTTCTCCTGGACATCATCAGTATCTGTCCCATGAGCATGAAGCCCTGAGTTGTTTCTTTGATTTTCTTGAGTGTAAGGAGTCGTGACTGCATCTTAACCCATTACTACCTTTTTTATAGCCCCAAAAGTTCTCAATTAAAGGTGTGGTTTGGGACCCTCTGTGTTTCACATGCTCTGTTTGTCTTTCAGCTTTTTTCCCCTAACATTCACATGGATTTTTCTGTGGAGGATGAAGCTCTTGCTCTTGCTCATCCCACCACAGGAAGAAGCAACAAAATTTCCTTTCTTTTACAGTGCCTTCACACGCTGCTGGCTAACTGCAGAGAAGCCAGGAGTAACTATAGAGCTCTTTTTAACCAGAATGAATAATTCTTATACCTTAGTGGTGTGATAACTTCATTCAAGATCTGGAGCAAGGGCTCTGAATATTCAAGTTTGGGTTATGTTTTTGTCAAAAAATTGATTTCCAGCTATTTCCAGGGGAAAAATTAGTTTCTCCAATGTACATTGCTGTTTCTGCTGCTGTTTTCTGCTTGACTTTTCTTTTTTTTCCTCCTCCTAGCACAGGTTGGGTCTATAGTGCTGTTAGGGTCAATTCTCAGGGTTTAGGCTTTACTAAATACCTGTGCTGTGGGCAAATTTTATTATTCTGGCAAATCACTTTGACTCCCTGAAATCTAATACACTTTTGCCAACTTCAGTTCAAGATAGTATTGGCTGTGAACTACAAGACCTTAAAATATTAGAACCTTAGCTTAGTCAAGGCTTGTGCCAAAAAAGCCTTTTTCTTTTTCCCTCTGTACCTCCTACCCAAGTCATGAAATCACATGTAGGCATTAGACTACCTATTACTAATTGGTAGCATGGGTAGGTCTGATGAATTAACTCCAGGGAATTAATGTATTACTTCATTCTGATTAATTTTGTATAATTCTTTGTCTTCTTTTGTTGTGTATGCACAATAAATAAATGTAAATAAATAAAATGCTATGCCCAGTGTACTGTCTCAGTGAAGATACGGGATTAGCTGATCTGTGCCTGGTTTTTCTTGGAACGTGATTGTCTTGGAATAATAATTGGAATGTAGTTGTCTTGGAACATGATTGTCATGCCTCTATTAGTCCCTTAGGAAATTTCCAGCTTCATAAAACCTTTACGTAGTTATTCCAAAAAGTGCCATTTAAAAGCAATTGTAAAACCTCTGAAATATATATATATACATAAAATCTGTATGACAGTGTCAGCTACTAATATATTTGAATAGCATTTGTCCTTTTAACCTCTTGACTTTTCATTTTTTCAGATGATGTTTCCCTCATTTTTGTTAGTTTACAATTTACTCTAAATTTCATTTAGGAGAGACAGAGAAATGATGAATTCCAGAAAACTGTGTTTCTTTAAAAGAAAGGCAATTGCTTCTTCCAGATAATTTTTCATAGATTTGAAACTGCATCCTACAGGCTGCCATTTTTTTACTTAAAAGAAAAAATCCCCCAAATGTTAAAATATATGTTAACTTGAAAGAAGGTGGGTTTTTTTTAAAGTATTTTATATGTTACTGTTACCAGGAGACAGAAAAAAAGTTAAACTTACCCTTTATTTTTTTACCAGGCTCACAAATGTGTGCTGCTTAAAAGTGACAACTGCTGCAGAAAACATCCTTTAGTTTAAATATCTTTCAATTATTTGTATTATTAAAAGTAAGTTAGGTTTATAGTTAAAATTTTAGATATTGTCAAAAATATGTCTGCTATGTAGAATGTCTCAGTTTTTCATTTGTTTGTTTGCAGTAACACCATTTTTCTTTTCTTCTTTTTAAGAGAACAAGTACGATTTAATGGATTTGGGATTTTTATCTTCATTGTCTATCCTGGAGCATTTGTTGACCTCTTCACAACCCACTTGCAACTGATATCTCCAATCCAGCAATTAAGGATATTTTGTGCAGGTAATAGTTTGTGCTTTTTTATTAAAACTTTGCTTAGCACAGTTACTTACTCTACAGGCATCATTTGTGAATCCTTGGTGGAGGATTGAAGGTTTAAAATGAAGAAGTACAAAAGTTTCTCTTTACCTAAAGGTGATCCTTCTGTTCTGAACCTAAATTATGATTTCAGAAAATCATTTGATCATTACTGTCCATATTGTGCTGTTTTCTGGAGGAGAGACGTCAGTTTCTAGGCGCTTAAATGAGTACCAATTTCCTGTCATGAAAAATGTTACTATATCCAGATCTGAATCGAATAGTTGTGCATAAGAAATTCCAGTTGTGTGGTTGGGGAAAAAATGTGGTTTCTGACCTTCCTCTCTCATTAGAAACAGCTCTTGCACCAGCTCAGGTGCAGAAGTTCCTTGTTTTTTTTTTTGCATATTGTATGGCCTAAGTAGCAAAACCTTGGCGCACACAAGCTGGAGAATACTCAGCCAGAAGGCTGGTGGTATGAGAACATGACTTGCTGTCACAGGTGAACACCCTTGAGCAATTCACTACCATTTTTTGCAATAGGAACAATCTATTATGTGATTTTTCAATAGTATCATGAGTGATTTTCAGTGACACGTGAGTTATGTTATGACACAGGTCACTGTGTTTTGATGTTGCCATCAGGAGGAAATAAAGGCTAAAACACAAACATCCAAAGAGAATCACAGCTTATGGCTCCAAATAACCTCCAAATGGTTTTGATTTGATGTTTTTTGAAGTCTCTGGCTACTGGGAAGTAGAGCCCTGTTGCTGTGGAAAGTTAGACTGAGACTGTGTTATGCTACCTGAACCACTTGTACTATTGATTTCTAGAGACAAAGGTGGTTCCCAAACTACTGAAATAAAGACAGAAAAGTTAGCATCTTGGTTTAGTTCTTGATACTGATGGCTTTTTATTGCAGGGAACAGTAGGATAGCAGCCAGCCTGTTGCAATGTTTAGATACTAACAGTGTTTCTTGAATATTGTAATTAAAACATTATATAGAGGGTTTTAGGCTGGGCATACAGAAGCCTTTAGCAAAGTATATTTTCAAGCTTTCATAAATCAAGTAAATGATGGTAAAAGTTAGGTAAATAAATACATCTATATTCCAAATACCCTAATGAACCAGAATCATTCACTGCAATAGGCTAACTTTTATGAAGCTGTGTTTCTCGAATTAGTCAATTTCCATTTCCAGCTACTGCAAACAGAACTGAAAGAGAAGACATACCGATTTTCAAAATGGGTTGCTTACATACATTCCTGAGAAATCATCTAGAAAAATAAGATTATAAGCTGTGATAGAAAATAATTGCTTGCATGTCTTTGATGACAAGCAAACACCTATAATAATTTTTCATGTTTTATTGGGAAACGTGAAATAGGGGAACACAAGGTAGGAACAAGCATATTGCAAGACTGGTTAGCATCAATGGCTTGTTATCAGCTAGGTATAACAAATATATGCATTTTTTTACAGCTAATGATAGGTATGTTTCAGAACTAGGATGTCTGATAGTGATAAAATGTGATATTCAGTAAACTTGACTCAGTTTTTCTTAATTGTCAGAGCAGTTGAATGAACCTATTCGCAGTGTTCTGAAGCTCTGAGTTTACAGAGACATGCTTTCAGATTTTTGTATAGCAGCTAGGTAAAAGAGCTAAAGTAGAGAACAATACCGAATATTCCTTTTGTAGTCCGCCTATACTCTGGAGATTAAAGACTATATTTGTTGTACAGCAGATGGCATCATGAGTTCAAGAATAGTGAATGAGCGTTCTTGTAAGACTTGTGGTGTTTTTAGTGTTAATTCCATGCCTAGTAGATGAAAAGTGCTTCTGTGCAGCACTTTCTTATAATTAGTTCAAATATTTGTATTATTTTTTGAGATCCTTTTTAATACGTTTTGTCTTGTCTTTAACAGAAAAAGGAGTTAAAGATTTTTAAAACATTATTTTAAGGTGTTTTAAGGGTTGTGTAAAGTGTCCTTTCTTAAGTATAAGGAATTAGGTATCCAAGGATGAGGCTGTTTTAGCAAGATGAAATTGATGGTATACTCAGCAGTGTGCCTTTACAGGTATTCTCATTTTCGGCCTGTTTGGTTTTTTTATGGATCACCTGGCATGAATTTGAAGCCTTTCTATTTTAGACTTTTCTGCTGTATTCCACACAGCAAACTGTATAGATTATGGTATTAAGGCCCATGTTTTTCTAGCTGTTTGAAAGCATTCCTTGTCACCCTCTAGCAGTTCCATCACCTCTTTTTTATTATTTTAAGGTTGTTTTCCAGTTTACTCTCTCTAGCGGCCACACTGTTACAAAGGAATTTTGTTTCTGTCTTAGATTTTTATCCTTTGTTAAGCTGTTAAGCTGAAAAAAATAAATATTTTTAAGATAAAGAGGTTAAAACAATATTTACTTAATACTTTTGTTTTTGTTGCACTTGTGTGTGTGTATGCATGTGTATATGTACCTGTGTGAGATAGAGGGAACTGAATGCTGAACTTTTCATCTATGTGATCGCCTTTCAATGACATATCATTAAAAAGTATAGAAAGAGAAATCACTTTAAGAAGCATCTACTAGTGGAAATGGCAACAAACCCTTAGTTAAAGTACTCCAAAAATGTCTCTCATTTCTGCAGCATTAGAAACGTAAAGAAGACCAGGTGACATGTAGAGATAGTCACGGGAAAGAAGAGTCTGCCTTGTTATGATTCTTGTGTTATATACACTGCAAGAAAGGTTTAATATGTTTTTAAACATATTTACTTCAGTTCCTGCCCTGTAACTGCGCTGAAAATATATAACTAAATCAAACCCCTCTTAACAAGATAAAGCACTGTAAGAAGAAAATCAGGAGTCTTCAACATTGAAAAGTTTTCCTGCATCGGTCATACAAAATGTTTGTGCAAGAACACAAATTAAATGAGAGAATTTGTATGGTACTGGATGTTGAAGGAAGCCAAGCGTGTCTTATGATAGCAATTCGTTTCTTCCTGTGTTAAACAGCATACTATAAATATTGCAGTTGCAAATATGTGGTCCAAAATAATGTGTCAGGAAATGCTGATTGCATAACTTAGTTTCTTGATGTGGTTTTACGTCCAGATTTTCTTGTAAAAGAAGCCTTTTTTCAAATAATTTTCTAAACTTGTTTGGCACGTATACATGTAATTATTTTCATTGATACAATGAAAAGTACTGAATTGCAATTAAATTTCAGACATCTTGCTGACTAGGACAAACAGTATTTATTCACATATAAGCCCATTTATTGAGATTCTTAAATTCAGCAGTTTATTGTGGTAGAAGGTGACATGTAATACATTTCATTCCACTAGTTTTTTAATATTTATGATTGATGACAACTCTGTACATAGAAACTGTAGTTTAATAATTGATTCAGAAGCCCAGTTTTTCTTCTGGATACTCTGTCCACTACATACTTAGAAAAGTAATGTTATGTGATGAAATATCAATATGGTAGAATGATACCTTAAAAATGGACTTACCACTTCCCTGTCTTTTCTGATAGCGTAATTCTCAGGGGTTCAGAGGCTTCTCTAAAACTCCCCTACAAAGTGACATCATAGAAACTTAAGTTTGTAAAGTAATATACATATTCTTCTTTCATGCCTATGTTCACAAATTAACTTTTCATCCATTCTTACAGTAATTATTTCAGGAAAGTTAATTAGAAGGTAACTGTAGAATCTTGCATTTCAGAAACACCTTTTTGTGATTAGTGTTTATTTAGAAACATGATTTTTTCCTTCTTTTTAGGAGTGTGGCATAATTTTGTTCTTGGTGTTGCAAGTTTCATGGTTTTGTTTCTGCTGCCAGCCATTCTTTTCCCTTTCTATTACACGGGTGTTGGGGCACTTGTTACTGAGGTCGCAGAGGTAAGAAAAGATCTTTACTGTTTTCGTATTATATACTTTGTGACCTGAAATGTACCTGTGTCTCTTATTATCACAGTCAAATTTGGTCAGTGCAGCACACTGCAGAATGTAATACATTGCACTTTTTGTCTGCTTAAAGTTTCCTTCTCAGTCTCATGTTTTCTAGTATTAATAAATGAAGGAACATGGCATGAATAATTATAGACTATTCAGCGTACTATAAAACTGTTTAGACATTTGAGATGAGTTTGCAGGCTTATGTCTGGGGATTTTTTTAACTTCTTTTCAACATAGGCACCAAGTAAATCTACTGGAAACTGCGTTATCACTCTAGTTATTGCTATCTGTTTCTAATGTTAAAGATTATTTTGAGCTGATTTCCTTGCTTGTTTGGTCAGCTGGAAGCAAAGTAGAGATAGACTGCTGAGTTTCTGGAAAGGACTAATTTTTTTCTGACTTAATCAAATACAGCACAGTTCAACAGAAGGATTCAGTCTTTCTTGGATCTAAAAGTGAACTGATATAACTCAGGAGGAGAGTGACATTTATTATGCTTTATACCTTTGAAAGTATAGGTACACCCTGCTTTGTTGAAAGGTTCAGGGTATTAATTTAAGCTTCTTGAACTTAAAATGGTAGGAGAAACCACAACATATTAACTTGTATGAAAATAACTCAAATTTGAAGAGGTCCCCTGGAACACTTGGAGACTTGCCCTTTTCTTTTCTTTTTCCTTGCAATAAATAAGTTATTCTTTGTACAGGATGTTGTTTTTGTAATGCTCTATCATAAGTTGAAATAATCAGTTCTAGTGGAGCCTGAGATTTTCTGTTTCTCTGGAAACAGCAACTTAACCTAAAGATTTCATGGCTACTCCACAGAACTGTAAACAAATCCTTGTAGTTTTAACTATAATAACATGACTGACTTCACTGTTTCCTCTCAGGATTCTCCTGCCAATGGACCAAGAGGTCTTTTTGTGGGAGACCTTGTCACTAATCTACAAGACTGCCCAGTTTATAGTGTGGAAGACTGGAATTCCTGTCTGGGAGACATTTCAGAGAAGTCACAGGTTGGCTACTGTGTAAGTGCAGCCACCCTACAGCAATTAAGCTTTCCAGCCAGAGGTATGACTTTAGGTGCTCCCTTCATTATTTTGTATTGTATTTTTATCATGTCTTAAAGATTATTTTGGATTTAGGATTTGTTGGTGGAGACATATTTCTCATAAGTTGAGTCTGCTGTGTGCTATCCTGGAGTGTGCTATCTTGTCTTAAGCAGTGACCAATAAGCCATTCATTTTTTTGAAATCTAGAAAGTGAGGAAGAGGTAGATAGAAGGTAGAAGAATTTCTCTGGTCTTCCAGTCATCCTATACAAATATCCTGTATGATCTGAATAATGAAATTTGCCTCTTCGGGATATTGCATAACTTGGTTATTAGCAGTAATACAATGATCTCCTCCATTCTTAGTTCAGTTATATGGATCAACTCACTGATCTTTTGCAGATGTAAATTCCACACATTACCTTCCTGCTTTGATCAGCATGACATTACAAATTGTATGGCTTAACCCAATGATGTGCTTTATTATGGCCACTTCTTCTGATGTGTCCCACTATTCAGGTTTTATGTTTCATTTGCTTCTTCAACCTCACAATGTCATTGCCCATAAACTCAGTTTTGTCTGGATTGCACATATTGCTTCTAGAAGTCAGTCTGTTTCCTTCTGTTTTCATTTATACATTAGAGTGCTTGTTGCTGTAATGGCTTACCCCTGAGAAACAAAAAAATGTGAACTGAACTAAACTAGAACAATAAACAAAAATTAAGTAGAACAAAAAAGAACAGTCAGGTTAAATTGGCTGAATGTCTTGTGTCTGTCACCAGGGCGAGCAGTTCCAGAGTGCCCTAGTGCAGTGCACAGGGGGGTTCCCGAACCGGGGGAACCTCAGGGGGAGCCGAGAGAGCCACCAGGAGCCCGCAGCTCCCGCAACAGTGGCTGACAAGACCTGGGCAGGGCCAGGAGCAACGGCGGCCAAGCCCCCCTCCACGTATAAAAGAAGCCATTAGGGAGTGTTAGCAACCAGGAGCGCTGCAAACAGGGTGTGGCCCATCAGCAAGGTTGTGGTGTGGCAGTTTACCCGGCAAAGGGGGAAAGGGATAAAACCAGGCTCCCTAGAGATAAGCCTGGGGGCGGCATGCCAATGTTTGAGGGACGGGTGTGCTACTGAGGTCCTTCGGTCCCGTCTCAGTGGAGGTAGGGGATGGAGATCCATGTGGCAGCAAAGACGCAAGGGTTATAGATGTGCTAGAAACCACAGAATCGTCTGAGAATGGTCACACAGGAATTAGGGCTTCTCCTCTCAAAAAGGTGGTGGGATCAATAGCCCAACTGAAGTGCGTCTACACGCAGCACGGGCAACAAACAGGAGGAGCTGGAAGCCATTGTGCAGCAGGAAAACTATGATATAGTTGCCATCACGGAAACATGGTGGGATGACTCGCACAACTGGAGTGCTGCAATGGATGGCTATAAACTCTTCAGAAGGGATAGGCAAGGAAGGAGAGGTGGTGGGGTAGCCCTGTATGTTAGGGAGTGTTTTGATTGTCTAGGGCTTGATGATGGTGGTGATAGGGTTGAGTGCTTATGTGTAAGAATCAGGGGGAAGGCCAACAAGGCAGATATCATGGTGAGAGTCTGTTATAGGCCACCCAACCAGGATGAAGAAGCAAATGAAATATTTTATAAGCAGCTGGGAGAATTCTCACAATCCCTAGCCCTTGTTCTCGTGGGGGACTTCAACTTGCCAGATGTCTGCTGGAAATACAATACAGCAGAGAGGAAACAGTCTAGGAGGTTCCTGGAGTGTGTGGAAGATAACTTCCTGACACAGCTGGTGAGTGAGCCAACTAGGGAAGGTGCCCCAATGGACCTGTTGTTTGTGAACAGAGGAGGACTTGTGGGTGATGTGACGGTTGGAGGCCGTCTTGGGCATAGCGATCACAAAATGGTAGAGTTTTTGATTCTTGGAGAAGTAAGGAGGGGGGTCAGCAGAACTGCTACCTTGGACTTCCAGAGGGCA